GGACCAGGGATGGGGGCTCCCCAAAGCAGGCAGTGCTGGGCTGACCAGAGGTGCTTTACTGGATTCTTTACACACATAATTTGTGCCTGAATTCTTTTGGGGCTCCTACTTCATAGGACTGCTGATGCTGTTGTTGGACAACTCAGCCTTATTAAAAAACCCTTCTCTATGTTTCACTGGAAACTGCCTCCCTGTAACTTTAATTCATTTTAGTTTTCTTCCTAATAACAAGGCAAAACCAATATCCCTTCTAATATTTCATTTAATCTTAGAAATTTCAGGGCCTCAAAGCCTCTAAAGAGGTGAGATATTTTTGCCTGCCAGTTTATACAAGACATAGGTGAGGTTCACAGAAGGGATTTCACTTGCCTGAGTTGGCCCCATTAGGGTTCCTGCACACACAGAGACAGGCTCATCTCACTGCACCCCACTGCCGGTCCTGGTCTGCAGGCTCTGCTCTCACCTGGCACCTGATGTACAATGCACTCAGGAACTGTTTGTGGAACGAATGGACGGTGCTCCGGGTGGCTCCCTTGGATACCTTTCCAGCATGAAAGCCAAGAGGATTTGCTGTTCAGCATAGTGACAATTGTCTCATATTGAGGGTCTTCACCGGTCTCTGTTTCATAATAGATAATGTGTATCAATTAGAGTACCCTGTTACAAACAAGAGAGACAGACTCTGGCTGATTTAACAAAAAAGGAACTATTTAAGGAAAACTGGGACATCCACAGGATCACCAGGAAGTCTGGCAAAGCAGTGGGGGCCATGCCCAGGCTCACCATGCCAATCATGCCCGGGGCTGGTCCGGTGACAACAGTTGTCCCCTCCCCTCGAGATACCACGTGGCTGGCCCCTCTGTCCTCCCCGACGTGCCCCTGCAGCTGGAACTCCATGATGCTGCATCTGCCACACTCCTTCCACCTCTCAGGGCATGGGGGATGGGGGCAGCTCTCAATGGGCAGAGCCTGGGTCACATCCCCACACCCCAGCGGGAAAAACAAATTTCCCCAAGTGGATAATCTCCCAAATCTAAGAAGGAGTTCAGATCTTGGGCAGCCAAAAACCTGACATACAGCAACCCATCCTGTTTCCTCTGAGCTTTCTCTTCTTTGGACAGACACCTCTTCCTTCATCCTAAACTCATGGGTGAGGCTTCTAGATCCAATTACCACCTGTCATTAATATTTGGTATCCAGAATTGACAGTAATCCTGCAAATGGGATCTGACAAGCCCAAGGTATGATGCGATTATTTCTTTCCATATTCAGTCCCTTAACTTCCATTAATGCATCATAAGATTTCATTACTTTTCTAGGCAGTCATACTACGTTGATGACTCATGTTGGCTCACATTATGCTTGTGGTCGATTCAATTCCCAAGATCTTTTCCTATGAGTGGCTGTTAAGCCAGGTCTTCTCAATCATTGACTTATATAGTTGCCTTATTGAACATGTGCACATTTAACTGAGTAATATAACACTGTATTTGTAATACTTGAACTATTTAGTTCACACCCTTAAGTTCTTTTACACTGTAGTACATTTTACTTGGCTACTTCAATCTCAGACTGCAAGCTGGTGGCCTGTGGGCCAATTTGGCCATGCATTCATTTTGTTTGGCTAATATGGTGTTTTTTTTTTGAGAACTGAATCGGTTGCCAACTATTGAACATCAGGAGATCTCACATAAAAAAGCAGGCCTTCCAACTTCTCTTGAAAAGTAGGAAGATCTGGCAATACTAAGCCCTCCTTTTCTCGAGGCCACACGTGATTGGCTGGAGCTGAGTAACACTACCCCCTTTGCAAGGTGCAGGCCCTGCCATGCTCTATTGCTTCATCCACTTTGCACTGCTTCATGAATTTCCACGCCCTGTGTTGCCTCTGAGTACATTTGGGATTGCAACCTGTCTGCTGTGGGAGTTGGTTAAGGCAGGAGCTATAAAGGGGTAGAGTAGAAGCAGAGGAGGTCTGAGAAAGGTGGGGCTCAGTGGCCCTGCGCTTGCTTTTGCATGGACTCCATAGAGGCCATTTTGGCCATAGAGGCCATTATTTCTACAAATCTTCATTGAGCACATAGAGAGGGAAGCTGAGCACAGAAGGGTGACTCTGGGTCCCTGGCATGTGCGTCTATTGTCCTGTCTGCATGGCATGCCCCTTATCCTAGAAATTCTTACCTCTCCTCCTGTGTGATGCCTGAGTGTGCTGCCAGGTTTTAGATGATCCTGCTCCTGTGGCCAGCACATTGTGGTCCAGAGAGTGACCATCTGGGCCAAGCTAGATGATAGGGTTTTAAAACTTCCAGCCCATGACAGCATCAGATGAATATCTTTTTTCAGTGACTGAAGCCATCGGATGAAATGCTTTTGGAGCTTTGACAGTGTTTCCTCTCATGTGGGTTGGGAAAGTAGAGGCAGCAGGTGTAAGAGACGGAAAGAGCATAACATCATAGAGAGAAGAATGGAGAGCAAGACACATTGTGGTCCCTCTGCAATAAGCTGGTCCAGCTCTTAACCTGGGGTCCTGTGAGGTGCTCCTGATTCTCAGTCTATTCTCCTCATTTTAAACCTGGTTTGGTTTCTGGCATGCCACCTGCTTTTGGATCAAACATTCTGTGGGTTCTCTTGAGAATTCCCCTTTGTTGTTCCTGAGGGAGAGTCAAAGAGTAAAAGGAGGAAAACGTGAAGGTGCTTCTGGGCACTGTGACATGGCCTCTGGCTCTCCTGGGAAGTCTGCTCCCAGGTTCCAGTCAGCCAGGCAGCTCAGGGATGCCATCCATCTCACAGGGTAGCCAGTGCTCATGTGAATAATACATACTGAAATCCACACCATCAAGACATCCACAAAGTAGCTCACCAGGTTTCTAGGAACTGGCAACCTGGTATGAGCTCAGGATACCTGGAACTGAGATGTTAAGATGCATGTTCAAAACAACATTAGGTGATGATTCTGAGACCTTTATTTCATTATTTCTACAAATCTTCATTGAGCACATACTATGTGCCAAGAACTGCCCTTGCCCTGGGGATCTTACAGAGTAAAAATATGTAGCCTATAGGGAAGCTCCATATTCCATAATCCAATGTAATGTGATCTTAGTATGTATTAGGTTCTGGAGACACAAAAATTAACAAAATTCAGCCTCAATGATTTCATAACTATAAACCTTATCTCCCACACATGTAAAATGAGGTTAAAATAATTATTTCACAGGGCTGTTTAGAGGATTAAAAAGAAATAATGCATAGGCACGTTCTTGGCATTTAAGCCACAACAAATATTACTTTCTCCCTGAAAAGTCGAAAAAGGTACTCTTAATTTCACGAACCACAGGTTAGCTTGGCTGGTAGGCGGGCCCTCAACACCTCTTCTGCTATTAGCCCTAGCAAGAACTATCTGGCTTTGGGGTGCCTGGGTGGGTCAGTCGGTTCGGGTCAGGTCATGATCTCGGGGTGTTGGGATCCAGCCCCGCACCAGGCTCCCTGCTCAGCGGGGAGCCTGCTTCTCTTCTCCCTCTGGCTCTCCCCCTGCTTGTGCTCTCTTGCTCGCTCGCTCGCTCTCTCCCAAATAAATAAATAAAATCTTAAAAAAAATACCCCAAATACCCCAAAACTATCCGGCTTTGTAGCATCTAGCCCTTGGCCCATGGTTTGTGCGGGGCCGGGCCAGGATGGGAACAGGGAGCGCTGGGAACCCGAAGCGGCCACGAGGGGGCAGCGCACTGCAGGGAATCTTCGCGGTCGACCCCAGCCCACTGCCAAACTTCCCTGCGGCTCCCGGTCCTCCGTACGTACTTCCGTTGCTCTGACGCTCCCAGAAGCCGGGGCGTCGGGAAGGAGAGCGCGAATTCCCCTTCCTCTGCGCCTCCCGAGGAGAAACTGGAGCGGGGTTCACGAGACTGCGCCGCAGTAGGCGCGGCGCGGAGCCGGGTGCCCTGCGCAAGGGTGCGGGTCCAGCGGGCAGCGGCGCCGGCCTCGGACCAGCGACTCCGGGGAGGGCGGGCTGCCGCCGGGAGGAGTCCGAAGGCGCCTCAGCCAACCCGAACGCCTTTCCCTTCTGCTTCGCGGGGCGTCCCCGCACCCATACCCGCAGCTCCAGGCTTGTCACTTCTGCGCACCGCCTGGAAGGGGGACCCGACCGGGAGCGCTGCGGGGAGTCGTCGAGGAGGATGCCCGGGTGTTGGCCCTGTTCCCAAGCTGCTTGCCGGCGCTGGCGAGAAAGGCAGTCGGGATAACACCGCCCAAACTTTCCTTCGCGGCAGCGTCGGGACGAAGCATCCCTCTGTGAGGTTCGCCGAGAGCCGGAGCTAAGACTCCAGGCGCCCGGAGGGGACAGGGCCGAGCCTGCGCCGGAGGGCGCGCACGGAGTTCCCGGGAGCCCTAGAGGTGCCCTAAGGGACAGGACTAGTCGCCGGTGTGCGCCCAGGCGTAGGGAGGTCCAGTGGGCGCAGCGTCTCCTTTCCTGCGCTCCTCACTGACCGTGACCTCTGCGCGCTGCCCGCGCACGTGCTCGCGGCCGAGGAAGAGGAAGGTCCAGCTGAACCCGCTGCGGGGTAGGGGGCAGGGACTCGTGGACAGGCCCAGGGCGCATGGAGGCGCCGCGGGGGCGGTGCGGCCCACCAGCGGCGCGGGGGAGCGCGCACGCTGAGCCCCGGTCTCCCCGAGGACCGGAGCGGCAGCTCCCCGCACTTCCTGCCGCGGGGCTCGGGGCCGCGGGTGGCCACTGCGAGCGCAGCGCCGGCTGAGTGTTGTGCCCGGCGGTGCCCCTGGGCCCCCGCACGGCGTGGGGCGAACAGGTGGCAGGACAGGTGTAACCCGCAGACGCGGGCGCCGCACTCCGAAGGACTGGGTGGGCTCGGCTGGCCGGGAGTTGGCTCGCGGGGCGCGGAACTCCGGTGCTCACCACGCAGGCCAATCAGCGCAGCACTTGGCACTGCCGCGGCCGGAGCCTCGGGCCGCCAGTCCGGGTGAAGGAGGTGCTGGCGGAACCCGCGATCCTGATGCCCGCTGCCTGCGGCGGGCCCCGCTCCGGCCCCGGGACGTAGGCAGCTGCGCGCGGCCGCCGCCGGCGCCTCCCCCATGCTGCTCGGAGC